GATCCCGACCTACCCCTTCAGTGTCCCAAGTGTTCCTTCCTTGCGGAAAACTCCATCGCTTTTCGCCAACATGGCTGGAGTGCTCATGTCCTCCGCAAAGGTCGGCCAGGGCGAAGAAAGTTTCGGAGCTGCCTGTTTCTCTGCTCACATTGTCTGGCTGCAACTACTGATCTGGCCAGGTTGGAACAGCACTTTGGCAGCTGTCGCGTCTTGGCGGAACCCACCCAGTCCCAGGTGATTTGCGCATCTCTTGTTAACCAGCTTGTCAAAGCTGTTGCACGGTCTGATGAAAACTAATAGTGCCTGGATCTGCGAGATGTTTAGTCCCAAAGTTTATTTATTCAGTTCAGTCCAGTCTTATTAAGGGGAGGGTAAACGAACGCCTTTCAGCTCCCTCTTGGTAACAAAGCGGCTGGTTTTGTGTATTAGTTTGTGCATCTGCATAAATGTGGTCTTTATGGCACTCCCAGGCAGAAGCCTACCTGGCGAGCCGTGCTGTTGGTACGCGTGGTGAGTGTTGGTCGCGCCAGCCGCCTGCGACCTCCCCCATCTCCGGTCTTCTTGACTTTTGTTTTGACCCCGGCTCCAGTGTGGGAGTGGTGGGCGTGTGGGGTAGATTCTTCGCGAGGCTACTTTCACCATAATCCAGTGGAAGTCACCGCGCTTGCCTCCAACTCGCCGAAGCTCGTGGCGGACATAGTCGAACTCGACGGTAGGACTGTCGTGCATCTGAATCAGAACGGTCCAGTTCATAATCGATTGACGTTGTCGGTAGTGCCGCTTGATAGCTTATTTTTATATAAAGCAGAGTATCGCTTACGTTTCTTCCGATAGAATTGCGACCTCTTAAGTGAATTTAACGTTGTCAATCTACCTTTTCCCGCAGATGTGTCGATAAGATGCTGTTCTTCCACACTGCCTGAAGGCCACTCAAAACCTTTAAAACTATGTCTATCCTATTCTACCCGCGGGTCAACGTTTACTTATTAGCTGGTAGCACGAGCTGCCGAGCATTAAGTCGAGCATTTCGTTTTTTATGTCTTCTGCCCGCTTATGCTGGTAATTTGGTGGTTTCTTCTTTGCAACCAGGCCAAAGTGCTTATCAACTGGGTTGAGCTCGAAGTGGGGGACGAGCATGAGGCCTGTGCCAACGGGGAGGGC